TTTTGAACAGTTGGTGCTTGGGGTTTCAAACTTCACATGTGTATTCCTTGTGACAAGACTTTCCTCAAGATATCAACGCCTTTGACTCTTTGACCTTGACCTAGGAGTTTGACCTACTTTTGAAAAACTTTAACCTTGGCCATAACATTTGAATGGTTGGAGCTAGGGCTTTCATACTTCACATATGTAATCCTTGTGAAAAGACCTTTCTTTGGATATCAACCACTTTGACCCTTTGACCTTGACATTTGACTTTTATTATGCCCCCGGATCGAAAGATCCCGGGGGTATATTGTTTTTGTCCTTTCTGTCTGTCTGTCTGTCTGTCTGTTTATCTGTTTGTCTGTTTATCTGTTTGTCTGTCTGTCTGTTGTCAACTTTAACCTTGCCCATTACTTTTGATTGGTTGGAGCTATGACTTTCATATTTCACATGTGTATTCCTTGTGACAAGACCTTTCTTTGGATACCATCATATTTGACCTTTTGACCTTGACCTTGGAGTTTGACCCACTTTTGCAAAATTTTATGAGACTTTAACCTTGGCCATAACTTCTGAACAGTTGGAGCTTAGGGTTTCAAACTTCACATGTGTATTGTTTGTGACAAGGCCTTCCTTTGGATACCAACAACTTTGACCTTTTGACCTTGAACTTGGAGTTTGACCTACTTTTGAAAAACTTTAACCTTGGCCATAACTTTTGAACAGTTGGAGCTTGGGGTTTCAAACTTCACATGTGTATTCCTTGTGACAAGACCTTCCTCTGGATATCAACCTCTTTGACCCTTTGACCTTGACCTAGGAGTGTGACCTACTTTTGAAAAACTTTAACCTCGGCCATAACTTTTGAACGGTTAAAGCTAGGGCTTTCATACCTCAGTTATGTAATTCTTGTGACAAGACCTTCCTTTGGATACCAACCACTTTGACCTTTTGACCATGACCTAGGTGTTTGACCTACTTTTGAAAAACTTTAACCTTGGCCATAACTTTTGAATGGTTGATGCTAGGGCTTTCAAACTTCACATATGTAATCCTTGTGACATCACCTTCCTTTGGATACCAACCACTTTGACCCTTTGACCTTGACATAGGAGTTTGACCTACTTTTGAAAAACTTGAACCTTGGCCATAATTTTTGAATGGTTGGTGCTAGGGCTTTCATACTTCACATACGTAGTCCTTGTGACAAGACCTTCCTTTGGATACCAACCACTTTGACCCTTTGACATTGACATAGGAGTTTGACCTACGTTCGAAAAATTTAAATCTTGGCCATAACTTTTGAATAGTTGGTGCTAGGGCTTTCATACTTTACATATGTAATCCTTTTGACAAGACCTTCCTTTGGATACCAACAACTTTGACCTTGACCTTGATGTTTTACTTACTTTTAAAAAAACTTTAACCTTCGCCATAACTCTTGAACAGTTGCAGCAAGGGCTTTCAAATTTAACATTTTTTTTATCTTTTGGCCTGGATTTTGACTTGCATTTGAGAAACTTTAACCTTCGGCATAAGCTGCCATATGGGGGCATCAGTGTTTCACAAACACATCTTGTTAATATATGTTATTATATGTTATTTTTGTAAACTGATGGGCTGTATTGCCCAAAGCTATATATTCTGAATAAACTTATTAATATTTAAGAAATTATCCATATCTTGCTTAAGTGTACATACTGTATACATACTCTTTAATGAAAACTACTTGACTTAGAAGAAGTTGCTACATGTATTGTCATATTTCGTACCAATGCATAGAGATATTTAGCATTATAGCATTGCAATAACGGTAAAGAAACCCCTTTATAAAGCCAAATATAATTCTAAGAAATTGCCCTATCACAGTTACATAAATGCTCACAGTTTGTTGTTACGAGGGTTGTCCCAGAAAAACGCGAACATTTCCAATATCTTTTGTTTCATTAATACAATAAAGTTAAAAATTGGCATACACCAAAATGAACATTTTTTTAATAATGCAAAAAAATTTCAATAAAATATCTCTATAAATAACATTTTTCTCTCAGGTAAACGAGTCTTACAAAATAGTTGTCAGTGCAACACTGACGACGTCAAAACGTAACTCGTGGCGTTAGTGAATTTATTATGGAATCGTTGATAAAATTCGTTTGAAGCATAAATTCGACACTGTATTTAATTTTCTTTTAGTTACCACATGGCCGTAGGAACCGGGGGGGGGGGGGGGGGCGTGCCCCCCTCCCCAATAATTTAGCCGATTTATAGATTACTATAGAAAACATAAATACTATATGCTTGTGCCCCCTCATTAAAAACGTCTGAAGACTTTTTTTTTTTTGCTTGTCAAGGAATTTTTGGGAGTTACCAAGTCATTCATCTCAAGTATTAATTAGCGTTTCCAAAAGTTCGCGGAATTAATTCTTTTGATAATTAAACTTTAACAATTTCCCAACCCTGGTCATAAGTTTACCTAACTGCTCGCTACATGTAAGTTAAACGGCCGTCGCCACGTATGACATCCAGGTTCTGACTTTTCAGTTTGTTGGTCTACCAAACGCTTCTTCCATCGAATAACCAGTCAAGCCATCCTCGAACCTCTTGAACTAGGTATAAATCTGTGTCCGAGACATGTTTGTATCGTTCCATCGTTTACTTATCTTTTCCAGTATGGACAGGAGTCATATCCCGCTCAACAGTACAGCTTGATAATTTGGTGCTCCGCATTATCGCCCGACGTCTCTATTTTTGACAATATCTAAGTAAAGGTGTTTTTGCATCTAATGTCATATTTTTTGTCACTTGTGATGCTAAATAAATGAATTTTTACACATGAGTATTTCAGGTCATAGAGTATTTATGGAGGTAATTTTTTTTTTTCACATTATATTTCCGTATAGCCTGGTAATAAAGAAAACTTTCCTGACAATGTTACTTCTAGATATTTCCACCTGTGACGTGTATTCAAAGAGGTGGCTACTTAATAATATTAATATTTCATGGGGCATCAGGAGTTATTCCTCTCTAAAACTCAAAAAATTGCCGTGCGCTGAGCACCGATATTTGACACACTTTAAAAGCTATTTTTACATGCAAATGACATTACAACATTATAATATTTTGTCAAAATAGCAAAAATTTCATTTCCCAACAAGGTGCCAAAAATTATTTATATTATTATTATTATTTATAATTTTTTTTTTAAATATTCAAAAAGTTCGCGTTTTTCTGGGACAACCTTCGTATATCATGTAACTCTCTCTAAACCAATCGAAATCTACTTTCATTGAATTACTTATTTTGAGAGTCAGCATGTATGACAAAGATCATTTTTCTTTAAGATAATTATGTAGTATGCACACCACATCAAAGTTTGACTCTAATTAAACATAGGGGATATTAAGTCTTGTTTTTTTCATTAAACCTCAGACATGTTTTAGTTGTCAAATTTTACAGCAAATAAATAGAGGAATTCGTCTTCTATAACATTGTTTTCAGATGGTATAGTTCCTTTTTTAAGTATCTGTGAAGATTACTTAAAGATGATGCATGTTGCAACCAAAAAGAAAAAAATGTCTTGAATTTCAGGGTCCAGATATGTATCAGCTAATTAACACGATTGAAGAGGTCAAAGAAAATACAAATGCAAGAGAGCACGTACTACAAATTTATTATGAGTTTAAATGTTTATCATCACGAAGGAAGAGAGATAAACAACAGATAGGGACATTGTTGCCCCCTGTACAAAGAATAATATAAAATCGGTATCATACAGAGCTTCCAGTCATTCTTGGCTTTAAGCAGTACAGCGCCTGATTAAAACCAGTTGTGCTTATATTTTGAATAAAAAGAATATCATATATACTTGAACTTGATCCTAAAATGCTTTTAAGTCAGCCATTCAGAAACAGTTCGATGTAAAAGAATTTAAAATAGAATCGCATGGAACTGCTGCTTTTGTGTAAACAATCTACAAGCCGAATCAGCTGGCAAGTTTTATATCAAGTACGGCTATCTTTTGATTCTTTTAAGAGTATCGAAGCATAAAATTTAATTTTCATCTCGATTGAACTTATTTAAAGAAACACACGAGCATGCCATTACGTACGTTATCTGATTACAGATTCTCCCTGCTTCATGGGTACAATAGAATTTTGACATAAAGCATTTTCATTTACTTCCTTAGACTACTTCTTTCGTTGAATATGGTTTACAGTTAACTCTCTATTATATTATTTCAGCATAATGCCATTTAAAAAAAAAAAAAAAAAAAAAAAAATACCGGTACTTAAAATAACGATACCACAAAGTTCTCATAGTCGTGTGATTAAACTTTTGATTTTTGGTTTGATTATAGGAAATTAGCTATTTATTTTAAATGTATTGTTGATGATAACCATAATAAATTCGTTCGTTAAGGAACAAAGTAAATCATAAATTATTTAATTGCCAGTAGACGGTTTTAAATTAAACCTCTTTTATAATATTTCACCACGAAGCCGTAAATAAAAGTGAAGTTAAAATATCACAGGATTCTCACAACGGCAGGGTAAAAATCGGTTGTAGAATTGTTCCACAAAACTGTACACTGATGCCTATCTATAAACAAATTGGTGATTTGTAAATACAAAGTGCATACTGACATCTGATAAAAACAAATTTATACTCATTATTTTACACAAATTACTTAAAAGTAAACAGTTAAGCTAAAAAAAATTACCTTAGTAAGAGTAATTAGCCACTTTTCTTTGGAGGTTAACATTTTTTTGCTTCACTTAAATTTGGTTTTTTCTATTTTTTCTTTCCAATTAAACAATTCAATAGTTCTTCGAGCCTCTTCAAAAGTTAACGATCAGAATTTGAAAATTAATTTTAAAAAAAAGAGTTTAATTGTAAATGCATCTTAGTAAGACATTTCAAATTCTTTAAATAGTTTTAAAAAAAGAAAATGTGGCTTACACAAACAATCGTAGGGATAACAATGAAATTCCTCATTAAATATTTAGTGCAACACTTACATTATTGGTCGAGTATCCATTTCTTGTTTCATTTTCAGAAATATTAACATTGCTTACTCGACTGAAATCCATTGTCCTTGAAATATATCAAAAACACCTCGAATCCATTATCAAACTCAGGTATGTTATCTTAACATAACGTTTACATGTATATACAGCGTAGTTCCCACAAAAACTCGTGCATTTTAGAATACTTTATTATTGAGCGCTATGATAGATGCTGAATTCGCTATTCTGACACAGGCAATGGTCTGTAGAATGCGAGTGGAGAGCTGAAGTCATGAAATTAGCTCCAAATTAGAAAATATTGATTCATTTAAACACCAATACTAAAATGTATATTTTAGAAATATTTTACAATAAATTCCATACAAGTATCTGATTTTTTTCGACAAACAAGATATTCAATTAAATCTATACAAGAGTAAGTACATGTAGATGCAAGCTTGCAGTATACACTTAACAAATTTATTATCAATCCATTACTATGATTTCATTTCTTCAGCTCGACTCTTAATAGCTTGAAAGTTGAAGGGAAAAAACTGTAGCTCTTTTCTTTTCTAAATGAGCTGCAATACCTGAATTCTGTAAATCATTTTTTTTTCTCTCTCTGGAATGTTGGAAACAAGATAGCTAAGCAATTGAAACATTAATTGCCTGGGGATCTGGTTCTATTAGAAGGCTAAGAAGTTAGACATCTACATGTACATTGAACCTATGAAACACGGATCAAATTATTCTGCGCGTAAAAAATATTCATAGAATAAATGCCGTAGGAAGGTAATGTTAAACGATCAGGATTGGTAAGAGCTTTTTCTGAGTACAGTTTTATGTTCTTAAGCCATGGATACTTTTTTCAAATGAGTTTATCAATGTGATAAAATTTAATGATTTGTTATAACAACAGACAATAAAGGTGTCAAGGTACATGTATTATGTCTTTTGCTAATCTTATGATTTCTCGATTAACTAGTCCCTGGGACATAGACCCTTAATTAAATATCCTACGTTATTAATACTTTATTCTGATACTAATGGGTTTTTTTCTCTAAAGGATGATGTTTAAATCTTGCTTATACGCAGACCCTAGAGGCGACATCTTGATCGTGCCTACTTGAATCGAAGACACATGCCTTTGAGTTTTGTTATTGACACAGAATCTTTTTTTAATCGCAAGGGCAAAAAGAGAGGCAAAATCATAAAAGATGGTAACAATATCATTCTTTAATTCTTTTTAAATACGTTTCCAGTGCATTTGCATCAATTGATCAGCCATTATTATATTGCTGCACTGTGACAGTCTTAGGACCTTAATTGAGTTACTGTGCAATCGGGATTGGTAAAAGCTCTTTCTCGTGTAAATTATGAACACATTTTATGTTTTTACAAAATTGAATAATACTTATTATAGTAATTAAGAAAAGAGTTCATTTTGAAATTTTAGAAGATTTATAGATTTGTTTTTAACAACATTCAGTGAAGATAAATGTACTCTCACTGCTCAATAGCCCTGAGTGCCGAGTAAAGGTCTCAATTGGAAACCCTTCACCGGTATATGATGATGGCTATATATGGTTGAAAAATTCTCGCACGGGACGTAAAACAACATTTAATCAATCAATCAATCTATTTTAGATACAAGAGTGCATTTGTATACTGTAAACCAACTTTTATTCGCGTGCGAGAAATATCCGCGAGTTTGGGGACCTACATTAACTTGCGAATATTTATCGCCGCGAAACATATATTTTGACTCGTATTTGTAGAGAATGTTTTCATAATCGCGAAAACTAATCATCGCCGATTGATTTCAAACTAACGAATAGCGAATAAAAGATGATGCGAATTTAATAGTTGGTTTACAGTATTCATTTGTTTATTAAGTAAATGCAAAACCCTTCTTTTGGCCCCTTTACTGAATGTCTCAGGTTTTAATATTATATTATTCCTGCTTAAAGTTTAAAAACAAAGACCTTTTGTTCTTAATAAAGCTTCTATATATTTATACACCTATCTAAATCTTGATAGCTTTATTGCTGAAATATACAGATCTTTAAGGCTTAATCTTGAACAAATCGAAGACACCTGCTAATGATTGCTCATCATGAAATATTGATGGGTTGATGTTTCTTTAATCAACATTCAAAAAAATATGGTATACTGCAAAGTATTTGATACTATTTGTACTTTTATTCTTTTTAAAATACACTTGTAATGCATTTGGCATTAATTGGTCAGCCATACAATATACTTTTGGAATCCAATACAATGATGCACTGTTGCAGTCATATGATTTTAATATGAGGTTACTTTATTTTTCAAAAACATGGTAAATTCTTATCTAGACCGTTCAAACAAATACTTTTCATGATATGTTTAAACGCATTTTCGTATATTTTTAACATAGACTTCCTGAATTGGTACGCTGTCCCAAGCTAATGAAGAAGTTAAAGGGTCGCAATATATTTGGCGTCACCTTCAATACACCAGAACGCATCCAACGTTAAATATTCTGTGTTGATTATCGATCTTTGGGCTTCCTTTGATTAATATTGAGTGTCAAGATTGTCTAAGCAAAGCTGCAGCTAAAGAAGAATTAGGGCCCTAGACCTACATCTGTCACGGTTTGTTTATTCCAACATCTTCACTGTTTTAAGGGGTTTTTTATGCCCCCATAATAGAAGTGTCGGGGATATATATAGTTTTGCCTGTCCGTCCGTCTGTCTGTCTGTTCTCAAAAATTTTAACCTTGCCCATAACTTTGATTGGTTAGAGCTACGGCTTTCATATTTCACATGAGTGTATTCCTTGTGAAAAGATCTTTCTTTGGGTACCAACATATTTGACCCATTTTGCAAAAATTTACCCAACTTTAACCTTGCCCATAACTTTTAAACAGTTGATGCTAGGGCTGTCATATTTCACATGTGTATTCATCGTGACAAGACCTTTCTATGGGTGTAAATAAAAATTATTATTGACCTTGACCTTAGAGTTTGACCCACTTTTTAAAAACTTTAACCTTTGCCATAACTTTGGAAAAATTATCACTAGGGCTTTTAATTTTCACACGTATATTCCTTGTAGCGAGACCTTTGTTTGGATACCAACAATTTAGACCTTTAGGGCTTTTATTTTTTGTATGTGTATTTCTTATGATGAGGTCTTTCCCTGCATACATGTACCATTAATTTGGAACCATTTGATAAAGTTCGAATCGTCGTTTTTTAAGGAATTTTTACGTTCTAATAATTGCATCTTATTTAAAGTTATAAAATCACTTCGGTCCGAACTGATCGTGTAAACATCTTAAAGGAGAATGAGATTTGAACTTGTAATCGACTCTTAATATCTATTACACTACAAGCAAGCACAGGATTTGAAATATATTCATACAGCAATATCAAATACCACTTGAATAATATGATTGAAATGTATACCACAAATCTTTTTGAAACAGGTAAAACTGCAGGTGTTGGAACTCTGTCACCGGATATCAAAATGCAATATACTTTTTCCTTAATATATAAAGATGAAATAAATGCAGCTTGATTTCATCGAGATTCTGAGCAGTCGATTAGGTTTAAGTTCATTAGTAAGATTCCCGAACTTTCGTAATGGGATACATACATGCATGTATAACGAAGTCAATTTATCATTCATCGCCACAAAATCAGTATAATGATGTAGCAAAATATCTAGAGTTCCCTGTGGTGTTATAATAATTACGTGTAACATATATCTGGTATACAATTAAGGATCAAGTCTATTTGGATTATTGACTAACCTTACAATTGCAGGGTATTAAGGGTATTATGTACGAGGGGTTAATCCAAAAGCAAGGTCACAACTCCTACAAAATCTGTAATAATCGAATGTTAATAACAGATTTTTGCATACTAAATACCCTATCTATTTTAATTTTTACCTAAAAATTTCATTCAGATATATGCAGCACTTTTTGAAATGTTAAAATAAATACAACGCTGGTTCTCGTCTATCGCCGCACGGCAAGAATGTTACCGACGGCATTATGACGTTACTTTTCGGCACTTCTTTTTCAGTTCATCGGCATATCTTATTTAACATCTCACGTTGTTCTGTTTAATAATTTAACTGCAATTTTGCTATAAATCCTCTTGTTTTGAGTTGGTGCATTAAAATTGTTTGAACTTTGTGCATGTTATTTTAAAATCATTCTTTTTGGATAGATCTTAGTTGTGGATGAACTGAGAATGAATGTCGAAGAAAAACGTCATAACGACGTCAATTACATTCTTGCTGTGCGGCGATAGATAGACCTAATGTTGTGTTTATTTTAATATTTTAAAAAGTACTTCATATGCACATGTATCTGAACTAAATTTTAAGGCATAAGTCAAAATATATAGAGGTATTAGTATGTAAAATTCTATTGTTAACATTTGATTATAAAAGGTTTTATAACACTTGTAACCTTACTTTTTTGATCAACCCTCGTATATATGTACAGTGTATGGTTAACAATAATATTTAGTTTAAGGAAGATACATTCAATGTAGGTTATCTAATGGTTATACTGCAATCATCACATAATCATAACGTAACTTGTAAAAAAAAAAAATTAAAAAGGACCTTTTTGGTTGAATTTATTATTTGGTTGAATTTGTTATTTTTTACTGGCTGATCAACTGCCAACCTTTTTGTACTAAATGATTTGGAGCCATATAAATTTTGATCGATAAAACATGTATTTTTACTGTATCAGATTCCTTTTTATGTTTCACAAAATCTCTTCAAAGAATGGGATACTAGTAACTGACGTATGAACTTCCAGATTTGCCTTAGACAGGTAGCTGATTAAAAATTATTAAATATAGAGTATCACATTGCATTGAATTAAATTAAAGTGGGCTTCGTTTAGTTTTATCAATTGTCATACGATTGCCTTTGATCAGATGTTCAGCATCCCCATATTTCATCAAAGGACATAACAAAGTCTTTAAAAAGTTTCACAAGAGCGCACTTTTATATAATTTCATAAAAATCTAGTGACAAATTTTTGGAAAGATTCCACCGTTGGACAAGCTGAG